TTAATTAAATTAATTAATTTAATTAATTAAAACAAAAAAGTACCACACATTTATACCACAAAATATTTTTTTCAATTAAGCCTACACATACAAAAAAGTCAGAATTTAAGTACAATTCACCTAAACATGTTTTTCTATATCAAACAGGATTTTTTACATTTATTTACTGTATCTATGATAAGCCATTACCCTGGTACTCACTTCCCCTGACTTAATCCAAAAGGCCATGGAAATCAAGCCTGATCCAATTCAGCAAGCCTGCTTACTTTAATTTTTTAGTGATGAAAATATTTTTCTGCCACACTCTCTCCCCCATACAAATCCTCTGCTTGAATTAGCAAGAATTTTAACAAGCTATACAGACCTATTCTTTAATTCTGCAGGCAAAAGTGCCCTCTAAACCAGAGACATGTCAAAACTTTGCACAATTATAAGTGGACACATGTTGACTTTTCCAATTAAATTCATTAAATAAAAACGTATATTTCAAAACATTATAAAAATAAAAGAAAAAGGAAAAGAGTTTATGTAAAAGACTGATGACTTTAATTTCTAAGATTTTCCACAAATCTCACTAATTTGCAGTTTTGAAGACTGATGCTAGTATTATTGCTCTTTCCCACCTAAATTGTCATTTTCACCACTATCAGCTAGATAAAAACAGTCGACATTTACCTCTGCCTTCCTATTAGAACTCAGAAGGAGAATTAAATGTCTGACATGTTTTGTACTGCTCACCATGACTGATACCAGGAAAGATCTATGCCAACTGAACAAGGAATAACAGATATCCAAGTATGCAACATCTAATTTCTCATTAAAAGATCAGGAAAATGTTTTCTTTTTGCTCTGAGATAATAATTAGTGAATCATGCTTTATAAAATTTTACATACACTTCATTCACTCCTATTCTTTTTTTTTTTTTTTTTTTTAAGTTATATGTGTCAGCCAGATAGAAAAGTAATTCTTTTCATTCTGCCTAGGCATTCTTCTTCATTATTTTTGACAAATGTAAGTTGATCTTCTTAGACTTTTGAAATGCAACCATTTCTATCAGATCTGTGGATGATAACAATGATTTATAGTGCTTCATGTAACAGGCTAGAGCATCACTGAAGGATAATAATAAATGTTAGAAGAAATAGTCATTTAAGGTTATATTGAGAAAATGTCAACATTATTATGCCAGCCACAGCACAATCACATTCAGTTTCTTATTTTAAATTATAGGAAACCTACCTTTTGAATCGTATATTTTTATATCTGTAAATTCTGAGAGTTTGTTTGCAATTAGCATTCAGAATTACTCATTTGTAAGAGTGAAAATATTGTAGTGTTACGAGTATTGCTAGACAAAAATAAAAAGAAGATAGTATTTGATTTGTAAACTTTTCATCACTCACCTTCTCTGCTGATTGGGCCGTACCAAAAAAGATTGGAATAAAAGCTAACCAAATTATGCAGGTTGTGTACATAGTAAATCCAATGGGTTTTGCTTCATTGAAGGTCTCTGGAACCCCTCTTGTTTTAATAGCATAAACAGTGCATGTGACCATCAAGAGAATACTGTATCCAAGGGAACAAATGAGAGAAAGATCTGAAATGTCACATTTGAGAACTCCCCTGGCATTTTCTGGTTCAAGTGTCCTCTGCTCTCCATAGTCTACGATGGTATGTGGTGGATCAATAGCAAACCAGATGAAGACTCCAATAAGCTGCATGGATATGAGGCTGAAAGTGATCACTAGCTGTGAAGCTGGACTAATAAATTTGGGAGCTGTGACAGATTTTTTACCTTGTTCAAATATTCTGTGAATCCTGTTTGTTTTGGTAAGCAAGGCAGCATAGCTGAAACACATGCCAAGTCCTAAAAAGATCCTTCGAAACGAGCAGACCACTGTATCAGGAGTTGCAATCATTAAAAAAGTAATGGAGTAACAGAGAAAAATCCCAGTCAAGAGCACGTAACTGAGCTCCCGTCCAGAGGCCCTGACGATTGGTGTGTCATTGTACCGGACAAACGTCACAATCACAAAGGTGGTGGCAATTATACCAAGGATAGCTATGAAGACGGGCACAATGGCCCAAGGAGAATGCCACTCCAGTTTGATTATGGGGATAAGCTGGCAATCTGTACGGTTGGCGTTTGGTCTCTTATTAATGGGGCACAGTTCGCAGTTGAATTCATCCACCTGGTAATGGTACCCCTCACATCGTTCGCAGTGCCAGCAGCAGGGCACTCCCTTCACGGTTTTCTTTCTTTCCCCAGCTTTACAGGGCAGGCTGCAGACAGATGCTGGATGAGTGTGTTCTCTATTAGCCCACTGCATGTCTTCTACCTGTGGGTATAAAAAATTAATGAGCCTTCTATTTTCCCCATTTATAATATCCTAATCCTGGCCACAGGTTTGTCATAAATCACTGCACGCTGACAGTACAAATACAGTTTACCATAATAAGAAACCTGTTTCTTTCCCTTGTATTGACTTTATGAAAGTGTTAAATGATTGTGTCAAATAAATCATTCATGCCACAGGCTTGATGAGTGTCATTAGTTTCTATTTACCTTTTTACTGCTGACCAAATTGACGTCTGTAAAGATATTTATTGACTTCAGGCTAGTTTAAAAGCAAAAAAACCCTGTACACAGTGCTTCAAAAGTTAATCACATGCAAATATAAATACCAGTAGTTCTCAAACATTTAATTACAAAATAAGACTATGTTAGTTTCAGCATGGTTTCTGGTACAGTAAAGAAATAGATTAAAATCTCCTTGCATCTGCTCTGGCAGAACAAAGAGTGCCAGAAGAAAGATCCATGATGCCACCTCTTCCACAAATGTGGATATTTTACACTTTTCCACTTTCTAAGTCTAGAAATGTACAAGAGTGTTCTCTTTACATTTCTAGAAGATAAAAATGAGTATATACCGCTTTCTGAATCATGGTGGAAAAAGATGTCATGGCTACTACTTTAGTCCTCCTGATTTAAAAATTCCTAAGATCTTTTTGTAGTACAGAACAGATGCACACAATGCAGTCCTGTTTTGTAAATCCCAGATTTGTCCACAACACCACATTAACAAAACATATTTTGTTCATCCACTTATTTATTCTTCCTGTATGACCCCCCAAATGAAATCTGAGTAGGAAATTAATAGATTTAAAGCATCTCCTGCTTAAAATTATAACTCAGTTTCATCCCAGCTCTCCTTAGCCCACCCTTAGTAAGACTGTGTTCTGCAAGAGGTCACACTGAGTGAACCAGGGCAGTGTGTAGAGCAAAGAGCTACTTGTAGGCACCAGAATCACTCTGTGTTGCTCCCATGCTCCACTTCTCATTCCTGTTAGGTGGTAAGCACTCAAGGACAAAGGACTTGCCTTGTTCTTGCCTATTAAGTGCTTAGCACTTTTGTTTAATTTGGAGGCTTTATTTATAAGTGAAACAGCAGCAACAAAACTTCACCTGTCAGGAATGTTTTCAGTTCCTTCTGGAGGAGGACAGAATGAGGACAGCTTATCAAGAGGGATAATTTTGGCCTTAAGGGTTTATTTTTCCAGCGATTTTTCAACAGACTTGAGAGAATATCACAATGTAACATTGCCGGCCTCATTTGCCTTCCTCGGAGAGCCAGAGCACTGGTTACAGCACCATGCAGGGTGAATAAAGCAGCAACAAGCAGCCAGGCTCTTTGTCTCCTCTGTCCAGTCTCCTGCACAGTGTAGGATTTTACTGTTATTTGCCACTCAAAGGGGTAAACAAGGGACCACACAATAATGAGGAGACAAGAAACTCACTCATACAACCAGCTCTGTGAATCCCGAGTCACCCAAGGACTTCAGTGGGGTTTGGATTGGTGCTGAACCTACAGAAGTTAACCATATTTTATATCAAGGACTGTGCTAATTACACCGAATGCAGCATCTGGTGACTATCTAAAAAGAAATCACTTAAGTAATTAGCTTCCTAAAAACCGTAAGAATGATCCAGTTGCATGAAACAGCTTTGATAGAACCCTAGCAGAACACTTGACACTCTAAGAAAATATTCACCTCTGTTACAATCTCCTGATTTTAATCACTGAAATTCTCAAAGCCTGCATAACCCCTACTGTTTCATCTACTAGACAAGAGAGAAAACATGTTATGATGAAATCAGTGTGATAGCAAAGACATATTCTCCTTCACAGTGTTGTTAGGAGAATAAATACATCAAAGCTTGTGATTTAGTCAGATACTATGATAATGGGGGCAACAGGAGGCCATGGTCATTAATCCAGATCTGTGGATAAGTTTGGGATGACTCAAAAAAGAAAAGTACTGCATATTTGCCAGATTATAGCACAAAATGCAGAATCACCAGGAGAGTACACAATGCCTGATCCAGCATAAACTTAGAATGGCATGGACAGGCAATATCTGATCTGGCAGAAAGCCTGACAGGATAAAGCTAAGGTGTCCAATTTTTTTAACATATTGAACTAGCAAAGTGAGTTTATAGCAGATCAGCATTTAATACCATCAGGCAACAGTGTTTCTTATCTGGCTTTAAGCATCCTAAAGCCACATTTACTGTATTGTGAATCCACGGCTTAGCTAGGTACACAGAATTCCTTTGTGTCTTTCAGAGTTTCTACCTTAATAAAAGAAAAAAGAAAAAAATACCTTTTTATTGTACAGCTACTTATGATTTCACATACTTTTGTCTTGACAGTGCTTTAACTGACTAAAAACATGCTTAAAAACTCATCCTGTTTGGCAATACATTAGAGTGCCTCAGGTTACGCATCCCAGTGGCAACAACAGATAATAAATTCCTATTTCTGAAGGTCACTGGTAAAGATTCATATTATGTTTTTCATTCTAGCACATCTGACACATAAACTACACAAAATATCATTTGCAGCATGGCAATACATGTTTATGAGTGTTGGAAAACTCATTGGCTAAACAAACTTTTTTTTTTTAATTAATTATGAATACAAACACTATTAGCTGTTAGCGATGGAACGATTCAATCAAGAATGGACTCTTAAAGTACAAAAAAATTCTAAATCAATGTAGAGAATAACCAGAATGAATAGCTGGTGCAGGTGCATTTTACAAGGTATACAAGTTATATCTTACAATCTGTCTTGTCTGGATTACTTTTTTTAGGCAAAACCTACAGTTACATTTAGGTTGACCTACATTTCTGAAAAAGCTCTTAACAAAAATGTTATGAGTTCTTCCTCATGAGTTTTTTATTTCACTTTCTATGTAAGAAAAAAGACAAGATATATTCACAAGAAACATTGGCCAGTGTTTGAAATTAGAAATCCCCTTTAAGATACTTGCAGATATGAGATTCTGGCATTGTAGGATTTTACCTCTGGAAGTGGGTGCAAAGATGGGATTCTCCCATGAACCCAACCATCCTGACAACTCTGTTTATAGCTACATTAACAAGCAACATGGCATAGTGAGAGCCAATCTGTGGAGAAAAGGCATTGACTCTGAGGACTTGATGTTCACATTGGTCAGTATTTGAAGTTAGAGTCTGGGAAAGAATCCGAGAATCATAGAATCGTTTAGGTTGGAAAAGACCTTTAAGATCATCCAGTCCAACCATTAACTTACACTACCAAGTCAAGAAGGTTATATTGAACTAATTTTGATGTAGTTCAGTGGACTGAACACCCAATAATGATTAAAGAAGATTAGATATCCTTCTGGAAAGCATCTTCTCTTTTCATTTCAGCCAAAAGCAATCCAGTTCACATAGCCTGAGACCCACTCCACAATAAGCAAGTGTACTAAGTGGGAATAATTGGCAGATTCATTTCAAAAGCAGACTCTTGAATGAAACCAAAATGCTAATGCGTGTACACCGTCAGACTGCTACTTAGACACTACTGTAGTAGAGGCAGAGTAAAGGTCAGGGGAAACTGTACCTCAGAGTGAGCGTGGCTTGCTTTTATTACATCTGAACAGGTTTGCTAAGGGTTTCTGTATATGCAGCAATTAAAGACTGAAAAGTCCTGCTACTTCTTGTCCTCTGGTTCATTCCCAGATATCCATAACCTGCAGCACTCTTTGCCTGTAATGTATTTTTGAGTTATTATTTTGCATAATATGAATGTAATAAGGAAATCCAGTACAAGACATAATTACAACAATGGTCTTAAAGCTCTATCAGTTTTTTCAGTCACTGAATGTATATACCAAAGGACTTGGCTTCTTGAACTCCTGCAGAAGATTCACCTGTGTCATTATTTTTCTATCCTTAGGTTATAGTACTATTGATCCCACTTCTTCTCTGAGATTAACTTTAGGCAATAAATGATAGCAGAAACTGCTAAGAAACAAGAAAGTGAAGGAGGATCATTTGGGAACACAGAGCCAGGGACGTTGTATAATTTTCAGAACTGTTGAAAACAGTAATAAACTTTAAAGGGAGTTGCTGGATGCTCAGCCTCTTTTGAAAATCATACTTTTTATATAGACATAAACAATTAGCAGTGGAACTTTCAAAAGTGCCAAAGGGAACTTGTTCAATCCAGCTAATTAATTTAAATGGGAGCTAAGTGCCTTGTCTGTTTAAGTGCTTTTGAAAACCCCACTACACTTCCATCTGCAATTTTCACAATCTAAATACTTTGGAAAATCCTCCCCAAAGTGATCTAGAAGTTCAAATGTTACAAAACTAACTTCAGGGGAGCTTAACTTTAGGCACACATTTTTAAACAAAATTCTCATGGGGGAAAGAAACTGGCAAAGAAGCCAAAGCCAGAAAAAAGAGAGACAGAAAAGAAGGGGTTTTTTTGACATTGAAAAGAATGAAAAAGTTCTGCATCTCTTCAGCCCTTATTGATCAAAATATCTGGGTCTGCAGCACTCTTTATACTGCTCAGACCCTCCTAAGGCTGGGTGAGTCTCAGATTATTAAGTAGCCTTAGGTAAATTTAGTTTCTAGAAGACTTATTTTGTCACCTTTATTTTCATGTGTGTTGTGGTTTAGCCCCAGCCAGCAACTAAGCACCACGCAGCCGCTCGCTCACTCCCCCTACCCCGATGGGATGGGGGAGAGAATCGGAGGAGTAAGAGTGAGAAACACTCCTGAGTTGAGATAAGAACAGTTTAATAATTGAAATAAAGTAAAATAGAAATGATAATAATAACAATACTACAACAACAACAACAACAATAATAATAATAATAATATACAAAGCAAGTGATGCCCGATGCAATTGCTCACCACCCACCGACAAACACCCAGACAGTTCCTGAGCAGCCAACCCCCCCCAGTTTATATACTGAGCATGATGTCGTATGGTATGGAATAGCCCTTTGGTCAGTT